ATCCTACAAATTGCTGACTTCCTCCGGCCTCTCAGAACCGCCCCCGGCCTGGGAGAGCCGCGCCGGGCGCACCCACCCCGCCGGGCCCGGAGCCACCCCGTCCGCGCGCCGGCCTCCCTCCCGGGCCGCGGCACCGAGGCGGGTGCGCAGGTCTCCCGAGGCAGCCCGAGCTCCCCGGGGTGGCCTGGGTCTCTGTCAGGAACAATAGCTCGTGTGTAAAGGGCACCTGTGGTTGCAGATCCTTCCACCATCGGGCCACGCGGCCCGCTGGGTTTCTGCAGGCCCGCAGGGGGGCAGACCCTGGGCACAAACAGGTGAGGTCCAGCCGGGCAGCCGTCCAGATTCAACCAGGAAATTCTTAGAAGGAAAGAACGTCCTTAGTAGAAACAACCTACTAATTCCGGTCTAATCGCAGGAAAAACAAGCAAGGAAAAACAATAAAGGCGATCTAGATTATTTTAATGATACATTTATTTTTTTTTAATTTTGGAAAATGCCCTGTAACAATAATTACACATTTAGAAGTGACAAAATGATAGTAATTATCAGCACACACACACACCAAAAAAAAAAAAAAAAAAAAAAAAACTCAAAATTATTTTCTAACTTAAATTTATAATTTCCAGATGGGGTTCCACTGTAATAAATAAACATTTCAAAAAAAAAGAACTCCATATTTTTAACAAGATTGGTAAACACCAAAAAGAAAAATAGGAAGTTCCACGCAGTTAAAATTTTTAAAGCCTGAAATTCTATGAGGCAAATTTTCCCATAAATTTAAACTATGTCATTATTTGAAGTTAATTTCAATTCATTTCACTGCAACAGAGTCCATCTTATATAAGAAATCTAAGACACAGCTTGATAATCTACCTTTCCCTCCATGTTTCATCTATCAGAAAATCCTGTTGATTTTGCCTCCCAAATTTTCCTTGAATCTGTTTCATCACCATCCTAATCTAAACTACCTTTGGATGGAAAGAGAATACTAATCTAGTCATCTAATTGGTTTACTCACATGTTCCTGCCCGTCTTAAATGCCTTCTTCACAGGAGCCATGTAAGGCTGCATGACCCTGTAAATTCCCAGCACAGACCACTCCAACATCTTCCCGTTCTGAGACAAAGCCCCTTAGCTAACCAGCCCTGCACAGTCAGCTGCCTTGCCCGCTCTCCACTTCTCATTGCTCAAGATACACCGCACTGACACTACTTGTATGACTCCTTTGGTGAATTTTCGTTTCCCCTGCTAGACTACCACCTCCATAAAGCCTGGAACTTGGTTTTCTTTGGTTCATGGTTGTATTTCCAAGGTTGTTCAATACATATTTGTTTAATCAATGAGTGAGACTACTAGAATGCTACAACTTGAACAAGATGTGACTTAAAGGTTACGTATGTCATAGAAGGGCAAACGGTCACAATTTGACATTTGAAACCAGAGTCTAAAAAGAACTCCAACTACTTTAAAACTGGCTTTATATCTTTTTAACTGGGTTGTCACAGATTCTTTGGGTAACCTTCAAACCTGAGTTCTCAAAGCACTTTGTATAAACCCCTGGATGTGACAGCTGTGGGATGGACTCAGATGAAACTAATAACATTGGTTGCTCCCATGGAGGAAGACTGGGTGGTTAAGGGACAGCCTGGAAAGGAGATCTGACTGCCTGCCCTTTTGTACCTTTTCAATTTCAAACCATTGAATATGCTGCCTATTCAAAAGTAAATAAATCACGCAAAGAATGCACACTGTATGATTCTACTTGTTTGAAATTCTAGAAAAGGCAAAACTAATATTTGTTGGGGGGAAAAAATAACTGGTTGCCTCTGGCCCAGAATTGATGGGGAAGGAACCTGAGGGAACTCTCTGGGTGATAAAAATGGTCTATATCTTGATGGGGTGTGAATTACACAAGTATACTCACTTTGTCAAACACGTACAGTTCACATTTAATGTAAATTTTACCTAAAAACTGTATAAAGTAAATAACACCTATTATTTTTCAAATAAGCTAATACACAGTTGAGGACTCTGTGTGTGAGCACTGGCTAAGGGCTGTACCTACGTTTTTTTCTGTTAGTCATCATATTGTCCTCATAAGGCAGTTATTATTATTACCCCCTTGCATATGAGAAAACTGAGACTTAATAAATACCAAGTAACTTGCCCCTATTTTTATGCGTGGAAAATGGTGGGGCAGGGCTTTAATCCAGTTCGTCTCATGCCAGTAGTGGTTTAGAATATTACTTACCCTCAAGAACTTTGCAGTTATTGAAATCATATTTTGTCTTAGGCTTCACAATAGCCCCAGCACTTTGCATAGTACCTTTTCAGTATATATTGAATAAATGATAAAGAACAAGCTTGGTGTTGATTTTATTGGTACAAATGATATGTTTTTCATTAATACTGTGTGTGTAGTGTAGTCTAAATAATCAGCACCGATGTGCTAAGTTCCTGAGATGTATTATCTCAAATGAGGTCATTGGCCTGAGGAGACAAGCTTGTACCATTAGCTTTGAGCTTCCAGCACTACCCCTCATTTATTTCTTTCCTTCACTCACCCCGAGCTCATCAATTTATTTGATGAAACAGCTTACACTTTGATTTTTCTTTCACTGAAATAGCTAAATCTAACCAGAAAATAGCTCATTCTAACCTCTCACAAGCACTTGAGCTCTTGCATAAGTGAAATTCCATTGTGTGGATTCCACACCATCACCACCTCTGCTCTTCACAGTCTGGAACTTCGAACTACAATAGACGATAGATGAGGAATGGGTGCAGTGAGCAGTGCCTCTTCAGGAAAGTTTAACTTAAGGTAAATTCAGTTGGCAGTTCAAAGTTGTCTGTATTCAAATGCTGCACGCACTCAGCATTGCTTTGTGCCACTGTCACAGAAAGGGAGGTCTGAGCTCTCTCTCTCTCTCAACCTGGCAAGAACAGCATACTCTCAAGTGCCTAAGGTGTTTTATAAGTCAGCCTTTATAAGTCACTGCTCAAGAAAGGGAAAGCAAGAGAGCCGTTCCTCTGAGACGCAAAAACTGTCCAGAGGATGAAGAGGGACTCACCGGTGGAGTCAAGGCACTGATGAACAGCACCCCACCCTCACCCTGGCAGCTGGCACTGGGGCTTCCTTGGAGAATAAGGAGGAACCTCTCCGTGACATTCCAGGGTTGCTGTGTCCAAAACAGCATGTGACTATTTAAGTTTAAACTTCAATTAAAAGTTCGGTTTCGGTCACACATTTCAAGTCAAAGTGCTCAATAATAGCCACATGTGGCCACGAGCTGCTATCTTGCACAGCACCAATACAGGACATTTCCATCCATCAGGAAGTTCTCTTGGCAGCACTGTTCTAGAAAAAGGAAACAACACTCCATTGAGACTAGCAACTAATGTTCAAAAAAAAAAAAAAAAAATTTTTTTTTTTTTTTTCCTTTGGAAAAATGAAGGCTAACAATAAAATAGCCAACAAAGCACTTGGCTCTTTGCTTTCCACAACACGATAGCAAAAGGCAATCAAGCACAAAAGCTGTGGCCTCCCCATGTGCTGAGATTCTAAGAATGGCTTTAGCCTCACCAGTTTACCTCCTTCACATTCCATTGTGTGCGAGACTCATGTTCTTAGGAAAGAAGACAATTCTGTTGACATCCCTTAGCACTTGTCTACAGGTGGAAACTGGATCTGCCACAGTTGTGGCAAGGAACAGGCTCTCTGGCTCTGGAGTTTAGACACGGTTTCTTTGTGATATTAAGATATTCACACTATCAACCCAATACAGCTTTTGAAATTGTGCCACCAAAATGGGACATCAATAGGTTGCCAGTTTCCACCCCACCCACCAAAAGGAGAAGTTCATTCTTTTCTCGACTTTCTGAAATATCTATGTTAAAGCAAGATAAAATTTAGTGCAACTAGAGTAGTAATTCCACTTAAACTTTCCAATTATCTGGGAGTTAGTAGCCTCTATATTAATGCAAGTGACTAGATTATGACCTAAAATTTCAAGTATGCCTACCAAAAGTGTGCTTAACCTCTTCGAGCTCCAAACTTTTCATCCATAAACTGGAGATAATTATAACAATATCTACTTAAGTACTAAAGTGACAATTAAAAAAAAATCATATATGCAAGATACAAAGCATTCAACAAATGGCAGCTGTTATAATTGCTATTAGCCAAAACCACAAAGCACCAACGTGCAAAATTTAAAAGACAGATTTTTTAAAACGACTCTGAAGTACAAAAATCCAGACTTTACCACCTGCTAATTGTCTGGCTTTTCTCCTCTGTGAGCTTCAGCTTCTTAATCAGGCAACTACGGATAAGCGTGGCTAACAGCAGATGTGTTGGTGAAGTGTGTTATTTTATGTGAAAATGGTTTAATAACAGTAAGTCTGGCCCAATTCCACAGAAACGATAAGGAAACTATGTTATGAAGGTGTTGCTTTACAGTAAATTTAATTTAGCTTTTATTAGGGACTGCACTCCTCAACATGACTGGGAAGCAACCACTGCGGATGTCATCTCGGAAAAGCCACACAATCATCAACATCGCCACCACATAGACTGTGAGCTAATGCTGTGGTAATCAGCCGTCTTAGTCAGCGACTCTTCTCCACATGAGAAATTGGAAGCCTGTACAGACATGTCAGGTCTCCCTCTGAGAAGGTGCATTAGAAAAAGATAGCCAGCAGGCACTTACAGCAAAGAGAGGAATGCTATCGAATTACAAAAAGTCGGTTACTAATAGACCTTTCTTACAGGCATGGAATTAAAGCTAACACTTCATAAATTCTTGTTCTTCACTCAAGTGGCCACAATACAATGAGATAATATTCTTAAAATAAAACTGAAGAAATGTTAACAAGCTGTTCTTGTGTTTTGAAGATTAAGGAAAAAACAAACAAATACCTAACTCAATAACAAAATATTTCCTGTTGCAGTAAATGCATTTTTATATGTTAATAAAAAATTAAATGTTTCAGACGTTTACCTTTTTCCCCCTAGAGTTCCTAAAGGCAGCAGTCATTTTGGTGGTAACCATGATAAGCAGAGAAAACAGAGAGACCAGGGATTTGAGTGGAATTTATAGCTGACTCACAGGGAGTGTTTACAGCGACATTGCCACTGAGATCCACCCACTTTACACCCTTTCATTTCCACCCTTCAATTTTGTTCGGTAGAAACTTTAAGAGAAGCTGGGAATGTGGAGGATAGGAAAGCAGTAACCAAAGTTGTTTGGTCTTATGAGTGCTAATTGACTTTGTTTTTCTTCCTCCTTTCTCTCTCCCTCCCTCCTTTTCTTTTTCTCTAAATGACAACTCTATGTTAACTGTGAATGTGTTTGGGGTGCTGACACTGAGACATTGGCTACAAGTTTCTATATATTAGGTAGTTTCAACTCTCAGAACTTGATGCTAGACAGAAATATTAATTAGGGTAAATTTTATTTATTTTTTTGGTTATGTTTTTACCCTTTAACTGAGGTTATAGAACACTGCAGGCTTTTGTGTTCTAGAAATGGGTGTTGCACTTGTATTACTCAAGGCTATTAAATGAGAATTTACTATAAAATACAGAAGCAAGTGATATGCTAGTACCTTGTGAGAGACATCAAAATAACACTATTCCATTATCCATTATTATTTCATTCTCTTGAAAGAGATCTGATAAAGTATATTAGTTTTATTTTTGTATAAACCTTTATTGTTCATATTATTACAAAAGTTCCTCATTTTCTCCCCCTCCACCAGGTTCCTACCCCACCCTCTGCCCTTTCCCCACTCCCCATTGTCCTCATCCATAGGTGCTCAGTTTATGTTCAGTCTCTTCCAGCACCCCCCCACTCCTCTTTTCCCTGAGAATCATCAGTCCACTCCCCTTCCATACCTCTGATTCTATTAAATTCAACAGTTAATATTGTTCATCAGGTTTTTTAATTCCCTTGGTTTTTAGATTCACTTGTTGATAGTTATGTATTTGTTGTTCATAATTTTTATCTTTATTTTCTTCCTCTTCCTAAAGAACCCCCTTCAGCAATTCATATAATTCTGGTTTGTCGGTGATGAACTCCTTTAGCTTTTTTTTTTATTAGTGAAGCTCTTTATCTGGTCTTCGATTCTGAGTGATAGCTTTGCTGGATAGATTATCTTTGGCTGTAAGTTCTTGCTATTCATCACCTTGAATATTTCTTGCCATTCCCATCTGGCCTGCATGGTTTCTGTTGAGAAATCAGCTGACAATCGTATAGGTGCTCCTTTATAGGTAACTACCTTCTTTGCTCTTGCTTCTTTTAATATTCTCTCTTTGTCTTTTGCTCTTGGAATTTTAATTATGATGTGTCTTAGTGTGGTCCTCTTTGGATTCCTTTTGTTTGGGGTTCTGTGCATTTCCTGGACTTGTAAGTCTAATTCTTTCCCCAGGTGGGGGAAGTTTTCTGTCACTATTTCTTTCAGTATGTTTTAGGTATCTTGTTCTCTCTCTTCTTCTGGGACCCCCATAATTCTGATGTTGGTTCGCTTGAAGTTGTCCCAGAGGTTTCTTACATTATCTTCAACTTTCTGGATTCTCTTGTCTTCTTGCTTCTGTGGAGGAGTATCTTCTGGCTCTTTATGTTCCAAATCTTTGACTTGATTCTTGTGATCTTCCATTCTGTTATTAGGACTCTGTATAATATTTTTTATTTCAGACAATGTCTTTATTTCTTGTTGATCCCTTATTATTTCTTGTTGATCCCTTATTATTTCTTGTTGATACCTTATTTCTAGTTGATCCCTTTTCATATCCTCATAGGTCTTATCGACCTTTTCTAGGAAATTCTTGAAAAACCTTATAAGCGTAGTTTTGAACTCTATATCCAGTCGCTTTTTGTCCTCCATTTCTTTTGTTTGTGATCTGTTTCCTTGTCTCAGCATTTTCGCAGCTTCCCTGAGTTGGTAGCCTTAAAAGTCTCTGTGTTCAGCTTGGATGTGGCGGGGTTTCAGGGTAGAGCCTACAGCCTTGGCTTCCGTCAGCCATGCCCCATGAGGCTCCTGAGTCTCAGTATTCCTCAGGGTCCTTCAGTACTCGTTGAAAGCACCTCTGAGAGAAAGGTGCCCTCGAGTTTCGCCTGCTACCAAACAGTCTAGGCTCTCCCCCAATGAGCCTGGAACTGGGGTTCAGTTCAGTTGGAAGTGGGGTTCAGAGCAGTCTGGAGCTTTTGTCTCCTTCCCGCTAGGGCAATCCAGCGGCACAGTCAACTACCCGTTCTCTGCGTGCAATGTGTGCACCTCCGGGGGCTCTGCCTTTTGCTGCTCCCCTGAGATTTCGCCTAACAGCCCAGGCTCCCTCTGGATGGGGTCTGGCCTAGAACTGGGGTTCAGTGCTGTCAGATTTGGGGTTCAGCACAGTCTGAAGCTTTTATCTCCTTCCCGCTAGGGAACATCAGCCAGGCACTCAGCCTCCCCCTCCCCCTCATGATGACTGAAGGTTCTCAGTCAGTGGCAGACCCTGCTCCAGCCCAGATCCAGGCCCCAGCAAGCCCAGTGACAGTCCCCAGGCAGGCCCCAGGGGGTAAATGTCTGATAAAGGGGTGGGGGGGGGGTGTCTGGTGAAGGTGTTCAGTGGCACAAGGATGGGGGGACGGGGATCACTTAAAATGACACAGGAGGATCAAAAGGGGTTACTAAAATGGTAATCCCCCCTCTGACTCTCCTGTGCCATTTTGATTCCCCCTTCTGATCCCTCTGTGTCATTTTAAGTGATCCCCCTCCCCCCAATTCCTTTTTTTTACCCCTAGAAATGAGCGCAAAAAGAAAAAGCTACTCTGTGGAGTACAAGAAAGGAATCGTGGAAGACTCTTGTGGCCAAAATCTTACTGCTTTTTGCAAAGAGAAGATGTTGAGTATCCGATTGGTCTGAAAATGGCGAGCAGAGTATGGTAACCTTATTGAACAAGTGGACAAGGGAAATGCTAAAAAGCACAAGTGTGGATCAGGTCGGCAACCATTATTTTCAGAGCTGGATTACCTGATCTGTGAATGGGTTGTTGACAGGAGAGCAAAGGCTTTGGTTGTGAATAGGGCTCAGGTTCAAGAATTTGCCCTTGCAATGGCACCACAGTTTGACATAGCCCCCGAAAACTTCAAAGCATCACAACACTGGCGGGATAATTTCCTTCAGGGAAGTGAACTGTCTTTAAGAAGATCTACTGATACAACATTGTTTAGGTTGGAAGATACTCAAGTTATTAAGCGAGCACTTGCATTCAAGACCTTTATTGATGATGCTGACTTCTCTAAATACAATCTTTCCAACATGATTGCTATGGATGAAACTGCAGTGTTTATGAGCCAATCATCTCAAACAACAATTCAACAGCGGGGTGCCACCTTAGTGTGCATTCCCTCCACTGCTTAAGAAAGTGCACGTGTTTCCTGTATTTTGGCAATTTAGTGTCTGGATGGCACTAAAATCCCACCTTTAATCATTTCTAAGGGCAAGAAGGAAAAGATTGAACGTGTTTTGGGCATTTTTATTCTTGAAACTGAAAAAGCCTGGGCCACACAAGCAGTTATAAGGAAGTGGGTCGATTTAATGCTGCCGCTTGTTATGCGAGGGAGCCAAAGAGGTCTGCTAGTCTGGGATGCAGCCAGCACTCACCATGCTAAAGACATGAAGACATTTCTTCACGAAAGAAAAATAGATCAGATAATGATTCCTGCAGGAATGATGGCCTATCTCCAGACTCTTGATATTGCAATAAACAAGCCATTCAAAGACAATTTGTGCATGGAAATTAATGACTACATTGAAAATAGAATGGAGAGAAATCAGCGTGGAAACTTTGTGAAACCTAAACTGCAAGAAGTTGTGACTTAGGTGAAGAATTCATGAGAGAAAATCACTGACAGTTGCATTGCAAATGCACTGTGAGCAGGCTACCTTGACAAGAAGTACTCATTTAAAGACAGTGCTATTGCTAAACATGAGAGATTTGGTCCACTGATTCTGAAAGAAATGGAGTCACAAGAAATTCACCAGGAAATTCAGGAATTGGATTGTTATGATGATGTTCCAGAAGATGATGACATGATTGTCATTGAATAAATGAGTCAATTCTTGATACTGTAGGATTCACAGTTTGTCTGGTTTGTGTTGACAACTACTGTACTACCGTACCGTATACAGGTAATAAATTTCCTTTATTTTCATTTAACAATAAATGTGTACTGTATTCTTCTTCATGGAAAAATAAGACATCCCCTGAAAATAAGACCTAGTGCATCTTTGGGAGCAAAAATTAATATAAGACACTGTCTTATTTTCGGGGAAACAGGGTATTATAAATAACGCTGCAGTGAACATAGGGATGCATATATTCCTTTGAATTAGTGTTTTGGGTTTAAGATATGGTGACCAGATTTTAACATTGGTAAAGTGGGGCACCATTGAGGGGGTGGCGGAGGTTTTGATTAAAAATTTGGTCTATATGGAGCAACAAAAATTTTCATAGAATGCAAAAATAGTATTGTAATATATTTTTTAAAATTTCAGCATAATACAACTTACAAATATAATAAATAAATAAAATTATGTATAGTATTATTTTATTCTTTGGCATATTTCTCATTTGAGTGAATTCTAACAACTTATCAACAATGTGAACTTTGATAAGCAGTTCTCGATAATCAGTTCTCAACAATTATTTGTTATTATTAAAGTTTAACACAATAAAATTAACAAAAATAATATAAAACTCATATCCTGGCTAAATAGCCACATGGCCGCCGAAAACCGTATATTCCCTTCATGTTCTCCTGCCATTCCCTAGCTTATCGTGCATTCTTTAAAAAAAAATCGGGACTTTTTTATATAGGGACAAATTGTTCAAAATCGGGATTGTCCTGCCTTAGTTTAAGATATATTCCAAGATGTGGAATCACTTGGTCATAATTAATTTTAATTTTTAATTTTTTTGAGGAAAATCTATACTACTTTCCAAAGTGACTGCACCAATCTGCATTCCCACCAGCAATGAACTAGTGTTCCCTTTTCTCTACATCC